ATATAAGTAGTCGGGAATGCCCCCCTGAGCAAGTGAGTACATTTTTTTTGTCTGTTCTTGTTATGAGCATCTGCTCAACATGATTTTAAATAACATTTTATTGGGATTTTTTTGGGGGGGTTGGGGTGTGTGTGTGTGTTACCCTGTCTTTTGACTTGATGTGGTCTACCCTGTCTTTTGACTTGACGTGGTTTACTCTGTCTTTTGTCTTGATGTTGTTTACCCTGTCTTTTGATTTGACATGGTTTACCCTCTCTGTTGACTTGATGTGGTTTACCCTGTCTTTTGACCTGACATTAAAAAAGGCTCCTAGGATTTTAAAGAGCATACAGTTTGTATCATACAAATGTTAAAAATTAAAAATATAATTACTTATCCCTTTTGTTGGCTGATAAAGGTTTTTTGCCAACAAGTCCAGAAATAGTTTAATTTTTCTTGATTCAAGGTTAACCATATCTTGTTCCTGTTATTAAGTGTAGACCTTTATAATAATTATGTCAGGTCGGCAAGCTTACGGACACTATTTCCTATTTCGTTCAATGTTTAGATTGCAGACAAAGTGAAACACTTTTTTAGATCCTATGCAGTGAACCGCCACAAGATGACGGTGTTAACCCCAGCATACCACTGTGAATCATACAGTCCTGATGACAACCGGTTTGATCAGCGCCAATTTCTTTACAATGCAAAATGGTTTTGGCAGTTTGCCCGCATTGATGCAGAGGTCTGTGGTCCTTTTTTTTTTCCCCCAACCCACTTTGTTATTGTGAAATGGTTTTTATTTTTACCTTAAAAAACCAGTGTAAGTTTTTGAGCTTCAAATTTTATGAACATTTGAGGACATATTGATCAACATTTTAAATTGGCATTCAAGTTCATTTTTATTATAGTCTTTAATAAATTCATTCATTCAATTCAAAGGTTCAAAAAGCCAACAATGCCATCCAGAGACTTCAAAATTTAGATATCAAAAGACAAGATGGAGTCATTTCTAGCAATTCGGCTCATGGCAGCTCTCCCTCCCCACAAATGTTGAACAGTTTAGGAAGTCTCTCCCGTCCAGGCTTAACCAGCTCAGCTGGGGTACAAGTGAATGTCGGCTCACCTATAGACTGGAATAGCTCAGCTCGGATCAGCAGGGTAATGTATATGCTTCATTAACTTCCCTTATTTAACAATTTTCAAACACCAGCCCCCCACCCCACCCCCCAACCCCCATGAATCACTATTAATTTTTATTTCCTCTGTTCACATTTTGATGAACATAATTTAATATAATCATGAATATTTATTTATCCTCACTAATAAAGTTCACCCTTTAAAACTTAAGAGTTAAAATGGTGACCCTGCGTGATTGTAGTTAAATTTAGTTCTTACAAGGTATAGAAGTGTGCTCATAGTCATTTAATTCTTACAAGGAATAGAAGTGTGCTCATATTCATTTAATTCTTACACATTACAGGGATTAGAAGTGTGCTCATAGTCATTTAATTCTTACACATTACAAGGTATATAAGTGTGCTCATAGTCATTTCATTCTTACACATTACAAGGTATAGAAGTGTGCTCATAGTCATTTCATAGTTTACAACATGTAAGAGAAAGTTTAAAACAAATCCAAACAAATGGTAAAGTCTGTGTGGTTGATTGATTAGTTCCAAAAGTACATAATGGCACAAAATATGTTCAAATTTGTGTATATCCATGAAGTTTCCTCATAGTATTGACATATTTGATAGCAAAATGAATTCACTACATGGTATTGACATATTTGATAGCACAATGAATTCATTACATGGTATTGACATATTTGATAGCACAATGAATTCACTACATGGTATTGACATATTTGATAGCACAATGAAGTCACTACATGGCACTGACATATTTGATAAAAAATGAAATCATCATATACTATTGACATATTACAATGAGTTCCCCAAAAATATGACATATTTGATAGCACAATGAATTTTCCGTCATGTACGTAAAAGAACAAATTTTTTAGTGTTCATTGTTGTTTTTTTGTGTCCAGATCAAAGAAGAAAACCAGCCACAAGTGGTTCATTCCCCTGGCAGCCCGGCCCAGGCCCTTCAGTACTCCGTGGTGGTCAGCAGGGATCTACCGAAGAGGGCCATGGGAGACTATGTTGTGCTGAGCCCAGGAGAAGAGGCTGCTGAAAAACGTGCCCGTTTCCAGCCGACAGAAGGAAGAGGGAGGGGAATGAAAACAGAATATGAATCTGGAGCTCAGGGTATGTGGTAGAGACATAAGAGGCACTGAAAAAAAAAGAGTTTTATAGGCCATTAGAATTCAGCCCAAAACATTACATACACTCAACCTAGTTTCTTTCATCCATATTTTAAAAAAAATAATACATTTTTATCAATACAGGTGAAATATTATTTGATTCTTTTTAAAAAATCTAACTTGAGATTCTTAACATAAATTTTAATCGCCATTTATGAATTCTATCTTTAATAACTATCAATGTCAAAAAAATGTATATCAGATAACTGCCTATTCTTCTCAAAGACTTGTGAGACATATAATCAATGGCCATTATTTATTTAAATTGGTGATCAGAACCTTGCTTGATCACTGAAATTTAATTCAACATATTATTAGCTGAGAAAAATTGAACTTTTTTATTTTTTTCTGAAATTTTTAACTGGCACACACATTTTTACCTCACCTCAAAAAGAAAGCATCTGTTCAAGTATTATTTACAATGAGTCTGTGTATCACTGTAAGTTTGTAAGAAAATTCATTTTCTAACTTTAGTGTAAGGCAGTTGTTAACTTGGAACAATTGCAAAGGCTTTTCAGAGTAAAAGATTGCACTCTGTAAATATTATTTTATCTTTTTTTTTTTTATATAATGTATTCACCTATCTGTAGTTGTAGCATGTTAATCGATATCAAGATGAGCTCTAATTTTTTGTGCAGGTGCTTTCTTGTAAAATTTTGTGATGCTTTTTGGTCTTCACTTTTGTTGATTTGTTTATGTAACATTCAGATGTGCAGTTTGTGTAACTGCACCTTTCAAGTTATGAAATGTGCAACTTTCTGCGCAATTTTTCAACAGCAAGATCCCCTTGTATGGCTGAATGGATTTCAGGCAGAATAGCTGAACAAAAATATAACATTATATCGAAGCGATTAATTTGTTATTTCCAACTTCATGTACATGTTCAGTTGTGCAAGTCTTAAACTAGGCAATGATATATATACCCATATTTAATTTACCGCAGATCGTGTAACTTTACAGTTTATATGATCTGTGCTTAACTTACAGAGGGTAGCGAGAGTGTTTGGCGCCCAGGGACAAGATTCATTGTAAAGCGCCCCTTTTCTTTTTTGAAAAACTGGCAAACCCATTTTCATCAATAAAATAATATCAAAGCACATTTTGGCGCCCCTAACTAGCTGGCGCCCGGGGACATCTGCCCCCCCCCCTCTTTGCTACACCTCTGATAACTTATATTCCACTTTATTGTGTTAACATTCTATTATCCCTGGATATCCCTGGATAAGTTAAGACCAGAGTTTTGGTAAACAAAAAAAACCACCATAAGACTCAATAAGAGCAGAGCTCTGAAAAAAAAATAGATTGTAAGTTATTTCCTGAAGAAAATCTTCAGACCAATTGTCCATTACAAGTTACTCACTAACTTAGAGAGAAAGAAGTGATGCATTATCTTTGAAAAAAGAAAAATATTTGTTTTCAAAAATGATACCCCAACAGAGGGCATTAATTATTGATATTAACCCTTAAGTTGCTTTATTGCAGTTTAACTTTAATTAGCACAATTTACCCAAGTGTGTTTTGCATTCATCTATTTTGACTATCACACGGATATGGCAGCAGCTGTTATTTGTTGTTTGTTGATTGCATTTCTTTAATATGAGCTTTTTTTAAGTTAGCATTTCTGTAAAATTGAAATTCAAACTTAGAAATGTGGGGAAATGTAACAAAACATCTTTAATAATATATTTTTGTTTTTTCTTTTTTTTTTTTTTTTTTTTTTTTTTTTTTTTTATTTCACTTTCTGAACAGTGATATGCAACATATTTGTGAAAGATTTAATTTTAACACCACATAATAATAATATAAATTGCTGTAATTGATTGAGAAAGTAAATTAAAAAATATGCCAATGCTACTCATAATATAAATTTTATGAAGAAAAAAATGATTGAAAGAACCAAAATTGCCTCTAGCTAGCACAACATATTTCAAATAACAATAGAAGTCGACAGATACTTTTTAACACATAATTAATATAAATGATTTAAAGAAAGATGCACTTCGCATTTTCATATTAAACACCGAATTTTCTTTAAAATATGCCATTTGCATGTTATTTATGGTACAAATGTAATGTACTGAAAGGCTGAAGTTTACTTCTGGAATAATTATTTTGGCTAAATTTCTTTCAACTGTCCTGGTTTTGAAAAAAATTATAGAATGTCAAAATTAACTTTTAATGTAGAATCCAATTGAAGGCATGTATATATATATTTTTTCGACTTTTACAGTTCACATACAAAATATACATAGTAATTAATTTTAATTAATGCATTTGATCATCATTATTTTATGTATGAGTTTTGCTACATTCAGTGTATAGAACATAGAAACATTTTAACTACAATCTCTTGTTCCATGACCAAATGCATAGATCGTGTACTTCTAGTAAGTTGTTGAGGTTAAGCCTGTAGTCACTGCCAGAATAATAACAAACCTAAAATGTTAATAGTTTGAGACAATATTGACCAATACATGTATGCTTCATTATTTACATGTTGATTTCAATGTTGATAGTAATGATAATCCATCCATTAAAATGTTGTTGATGTTTATGTATTTTGGCTGTTGCACCAATGTGAATGCTCTTTCCTTTATTTTATTTTTGGCCTTATATTAAATCAACATTCTAATAACAATGAACATTGTTCTAAAAATTTGAATTAAGAATAATTTTGTTTAAGTATGTTGAATGACTTCATGCAAATAAAAAAATAAAATAAATAAAAGACGATGGGGCATTAATGGGGCAAACTGAACAAGGGATTTTAAAAAAAATGAGTAGTCTTCTGAAAATATCAATGGATGCGTTATCTGTAAGTATATAGTGAGCACATGTAGAGCATTGGGGAGACATTTGTTTCATGTTTAAAATGTCAACACGTCAGATTCAATTTTCAAAACTTAACTTAGTAAACAAATAAAATGGTTTAAGTGAACTTGGGTTCTTACTAAAAATAAAAACCTTATCTTTTGCTTTATGTCTGAAATTAATGAAATTCTTTTTTTAAAAATGATATTATGAGTCCACTGAATAAAAATTAATTAATTTTATTTTTCTAACTTAAAGTGTAATAATAAATTTGTTATCAATTTAAAATTTAAGAAACTTCTTGATGCGAGCCAGTGATGTCTTTCGCTTGAGAGAGTTGCTAGAACTCCTTCTGCTTGTGGGGTTGGAAACCACAGAAAACTCTGTGTTGGAAGTGTTCCTGGTCAGGTACGAGCTGTTGGACAGCGAGGGGGAGCACGGGGAGTGCTGGTCAGAAGATGCTGGTTGTTCATTTTGGAGATCATGAGATGGACTCATCCCAGGGACCCTCAGGAGTCGCTTGTTCTCATCACGCTCCCTTATTCCACACAAATTTGAAAAGACAAAAAAATGTTAAATATCAATTTGGATGGTTAAACATAACATTTCAACCTTATACATTCTACCTGAAATCAATAAAAAAATCACATCGTCAATTAAATTATAGAAGAGAATGGACACAAAAATTGTAATAAATTGCAGTTTTCTTAAAGAGTGTTGAAAAGGACAATAGAAGATATCTGTTTGTGGGGTGAAGCTTTTTTGTGCAGAAAAAAAGTTCAGTTTATTCATACAATAAAACATAACTGAATAAGGGAAAAAAGTATTTCTTCAAATAAGAAATTAAATAAATCCCTTGGGGCTGGTTTCTTTTCATGTTTTGTTTTTGTACTATTAGAAAATATCATATCCTGGGTATTGTCATAGTCCAAGACATTTTTTATCTGTATTAATTGTAATTTAATTTACTTGCAAAAGATATTGGCACCTGAATGTTCTTGGTTAAGACAGGCCATTGCCTTGCTTACTGATTCCGGAAGCCTATGACCACTTCCATTTAAAAATCAACTATGCCATACCCCCATAAGGTAATTTGGATGTTACAGTTACAGGCTCATTAAATACAAATGTCATGTTACCTATACTCCATTGCAATGTTCTTGAGGGCCTTCTCCACTTGTTTCTCCTCCCAGTCTGTGTAAGAAGGACTTGGCAAAGGACTGCATGGAATAGAACAGCTCCCCTGTTCAAGTAGGCCAGTAAAAAAAAATAAGTCTAGGGTTTTGGAGATTTTTACAGAAATTCTTTTAGAAAAGCTCTTCTCTAGTTCACTGTCTCATAATTAACAAAAATATAAAAATTAATAAAACCCTAACACTTCAAGAGTGCCATGGAAAATAATTGTATATTTATTTTTAAAGGGTACGCAACTGTCTATTTTGAAAATTCAATGCTCTTCAAAAGTAGTCTATCTTAGCTCTAGTTCCAGACAAATGTGACAAGAAATTTGTTATTGACATAAATGTCTCTTTTTAGAAAACTATTATTCTTCTGTTAAAAGTTATAGTATTTTTATTTAGTTTTATACAGTTTTATTCTCCTTACCTGTAATCTGACTTTCTCCACTAAATATGCCAGCCCCTGGACACCGATTTCATCTTTGAGTCGTCTCAGCATTGTATAGTCAGCCAATACCTTCATTCCAAAATGGTGACTTAGGTAACGCTCAACCTGGACAATTTTGAATTTTTAAAAAAAAATCGCAATGGACACTCGTTTTTTATATTAAGTAAATTCTAGTAATTGCAACCCAACTCTACAAGTGTATTGCATTAAAGATAAAAATTGTATTTGAAATAAAATTTTCACCAAAATTATTTTTTTGCTTAGAGAGTTTAACTATGTACGTTTCGCAATAAGTAAATGGACATCTAACAAACTTGAAAATATCATTTGGCGCCACAAGACTTGGCTGTGTTCCAAATTTCTGTTTACTAGAAAATTTTGCTTAAAGATGTTGAGTCCTTTCAATCAGGCAAAGTATATTTTTAAGCGTAAAAATCAGTTTTAAATAATACATTCAAGTCAAATATTTATTTGGTCTGCATTTATCAAATTAATATTAATAAATTAATATGTGAACATTTTTTAAAATTTTATTTTTAAAATTTAAATTAAGTTTTTTGTTTGTCCCCATATGTAAATTAATAGTGAAGTAACACATTTGGTTGATGTATACAGAATAATAAATATCCGTTTGAAACAAATTGAAAAAAAAATATAAATTAAATACCCACAAAGAGCTAATAAAATTTTCATCATAAAGTGCTATTTATATAGTTTTTGTTACCTCTTTAGCTTGGACCCCAGGAGAGCCATCCACAAGGATGTGTTCAGATCTTCTGCTCAATCTCTTCTCCTCCAAGTCGTCTTCTGTGTCTTCACTGCGACCTGTCTTCTCGATGCGTCGAAGAACATTTCTGAAACCAAGTTTTCAAAATTTAGTACCGATTGGTAATGGAATATGTTGCATTTCACTGTTTCTCAATTAGCAGTGAATTTAGATTTATAGAAAAGTTTGATGGGTGGATTCGATCAATGCAGGCCTATGTCGCCCAGCAAGCTCCAATTAGCTGTTAGAATGAGAGAGCGCTTTCTCATTCTATCAGGAGTACACTAACCACGTCAATGTTCAAATGCCCTTGAGTGAAAGGGTTGAGGGAATGCTAAAGAAGTATGAGGACTTCATAAGCTTTGTAAATATAATATTTGGTTGCATGTGAATATAGAAGAAACAAAGAGAAACGTTTGATTATTTATATATGAATTGTGTATCACAAACGTAAGAAACTATAGTTGTCAGTTCCATGTCTGGTTAGTGCAGATATTGGCCACAGTTTGAGCATGATTCCAAACTAGTTTAATTATGCAGTACTCATGCTAAAATGCGTTGTATCCAGCGGCTTAGCTAGGGTTAGTGCCGAGGAGGGCCCAGTTTTTTTACGTTTCCCCTCCAGGCAAAAACTCTGCATTTGGCCGAAAGTAAAAATGCCGCGTAGGGAGGACCACCCTCCACCCCTTTCCTACATCATTGATAGAAGACAGCTTGACAACTTGATAGGGAGATTTTGTTCCCCACCAAACAGCATTGATTCCAGAAGGCTGTTAGAAGTAACATGTCATGTGTTCTTATTTCTTACACACGTTATCTTAAATTCTCATCTTTTCTCTTCTAGACTTATTGAAATTGTCATCATTTAGTGTGATCATAAAAAAATAATCATCATTTGGCGCGATCATAAAAAATAATAGTCATTAATTGTCCTCATTTGGTGTGTTCATCAAAAATAATCATCATTAATTGTCATTTTTATTCCATTCCCCGGTTGCTTTATGTATTAAAAATACATGCCAACTCAATTAGGAAACAGTTTTGGGCAATAGGCTTAACTGACCATGGCGTTGTTCATAGTAACAGACCACGTTATCAATAGACTGATTATTTTGCCTCCATGGTGTAGATCTATGGTAGTTTCAGATTTAGGCCTACGTTTGCTGATGTCTAGTCTTTTGTTTGGTGCTCAACTTCATATAGCTGCTGAAGATAAGCCGCTAACATCATAAATAGTTGAACTTCTTCTGTCTTTACTGACAGAAATACTGCCTTGCTGTTTGCAAACCTCTTCAAATTTGCTTTTTTAAATAAATTTGTCAACTGGATCAGAATTTCTTAAATTTTCATTTAGGATACATATTTATATATTATCACTAATAATAATTCTCCAGGTACGTAGTATGACTGTCACGTTCTGTCAGGTGCAGTATGTATGACTGTCACGTTCTGTCAGGTGCGGTATGTATGACTGTCACGTTCTGTCAGGTGCAGTATGTATGACTGTCACGTTCTGTCAGGTGCAGTATGTATGACTGTCACATTCTGTCAGGTGCAGTATGTATGACTGTCACATTCTGTCAGGTGCAGTATGTATGACTGTCACATTCTGTCAGGTGCAGTATGTATGACTGTCACGTTCTGTCAGGTGCAGTATGTATGACTGTCACGTTCTGTCAGGTGCAGTATGTATGACTGTCACGTTCTGTCAGGTGCAGTATGTATGGCTATAACGCTGTGTTTAATAGGCAAGCAAAATAAAATTGCCAAAAGTCACAGCTAATTGGGGTTTTTATAAAGTACGTTACCTGAATACTGAATAGAGATTTTGTCAATTAACTTTGGTAGATGGGAAGTTCACGCACCTCCGTGGCCATTGTTAGGCAGGTTATTTCTAGTAACTAATAATAATTACAATAGACTACTGAGTAACGCAACTTCACATAATAAAAAGAATATTGTGTTGCTATCACCAGGCCCCCCAAAAAATTAATCCAAAACCGTAGGTATCAGCTTATTTCTAAACATATTCATGCAAAATGTTAGATTCGTTAAAAGCAATCTTTAAATCATTACTTGAAGTAATTAATTCGATGTTTGATCTCTTTGCTTCGTGTTGAGTAGAAGAGTTTAGTTTGTAGCTCTTCATCATACCACATCTTCTGATTCTGGAGCTGGGAGAAATGGAACAAAATGCAAACAATTTTACATCTTGTACTACAATGCAATAAAAATCATATTTTTTTTTAATTTACTTTCTTTTGATTTTTTGAAAATAGTTTATGTTATTGTTTCAAAAAATAAATTCATCAAAATAATCTTTCCAATTCCTAATGGGGGAAAAATAACTCCTCATCCCACCTCCACCCCCTTTTTAAATTAAAAGGGAAAAAAATCTTTCAATGCATAGGGTAGCGAGCATAAAATATATTTGGATCAAGAAAACCAAAAGAAATGTACTTGAGTCTAGTCACAAAGCATCATGACGTGCTCTTGGTAAGTGCATTGTTTCCTAGTCTCACCAGCACGTCTCAGGCTTTTCATTAAAATAAAACAAATATTGGAGGTAAAAATTTCCAAACTCAAAGGAAAAAATATAATCAATATCTTGAGGAGGGGGGGACTGTTGTTTTTAACAGTATCATTTTTGTATGTTATGTTTACCAGTAGTCAATGTATCGGCAGTCTACAGTTACAGCTTAAAAAACAAACTACAGACTTACCACATCTTTTGATTCACAGACGTTTTGCTCTAAACAAATAAGTTCAGCTGCGTCCAGCAAAAATGATGCCATTTCGTTTGATATGTCTGAATAATGGAAATAAAAATGGCGCAAATATTATACCAGTAATTGAAATGTGATTAAACGTCATACTATTATAGCACACATAACGTAACTGACGGGGGGGGGGGGGGGGGGGGGGGGGGGGGGGGAGGAATTTCAATTTAACATTACAATTTTAGGTGTCCATCTAAAAGCTCTATTCTTTAAAAAGACAACTGAGATGTTGTTTGTAAAGAGCCCCTGTGTCATTTATTTTACAGATACATTATTTGATTATCATGAATTTTTTCTTAAATATTCTATTCTATTGAAAAATGTAGCCAAGGATGTAACAATTACTTCAAATGTGCAGTGAGTAGTAATCTTCAAATATATGCCATCCATTATTAAAGTCATGGAGTTAGTGAGGAGCACAGGATTTATTTAGAGTTTTGGATAAAGTCCAGGTAATGAAAGGTTTAATAAGGTAGAAGGACAAGAGGGTTTAGAATATGAAGTTACATTACAACTTGATGAAAAGTAGTGTTAGAAGATATAATATTATATATATATACGTATGTCTGCCTTCGGTGTCCACCCAGTGACTTGAAGATACGAGGATGGTCACTGAAAGTGGATTTCGGTCAACGCAAGTTGCGTGTTGAGCACTTGTCAGAAATCTTCTTGCGTTTCTGAAGTAAACCAAGGGACTACTTCTACTTCTTTGTGACACTTTATTTTAGTTCCAGCCATATATCAGGTTAAACAAAGGTCATGACGACGACTATCCAGGCTCTCCATGTTGTACAAGATTAAAAAAATAGGCTGGTCCACTGCTCCAGCATTAAACAGAAACTTGTCCCTGTCCCCCCTAAATTGTGAGGAGGCCACAACAGGCAGTTCCGGTTCATAAAAACAAGAACTCAGTACAGGAGCTCCTCATTCCTGCCAAAGACAGTAAGGGACTGGAACAACCTTCAAAAAGCAACAGTTGAGGCGACTACACTTGACACATTTGCATCTATTGCCTCCTGTCTTCCAACCTTCAGTTCATAATACCACTGCTGAGTAGCCCTTGCAACCAGTGAGTTATCCCCTTCAAAACTATGCACAGTTACATCACGAAACCCTTTGAAACATAGGAGCCAGAATGTCAATTCATTGATCGTGGGCCTCAAAATATAGAAGAAGAAGGAGGAACAGAGTTGCTTGCCTGAATTGATAAGATGAATAAATATGGGGGTCGGTTCTTTTGTGCGTTTCTTTTTAAATAAAAAAGGCAGTGACGTCATCTGTGGTTGATTCCAAGTTTCAGATGTTTTCAACCTTTTTCATCTTACCACACTAGAACTAATCGTTACATTTCCTTGACACATAATTAGGTTGTAATTAGGTTTCTTTGGGAAGGACTGAGTCCAAGTAAATTATTTCGGTATTTAATTAAATTATATTGGAAAATTTTCTATCCATATAAGTTTTTAAGTAGACTGCTCACCAATAGCATTACTTAAAGTTTTATCCATTTATATCTCATGTCACATTTATGAATCATCAGGGCATGTACAAAAAATGTGGGGTGGGGGGGAGAGAATGCCTAAATTCCCAGCTGCAGCCATGGCCCTGTGAAACATAATAACACACCAGGGTGTCACAACACACCGGTTGAAACCCACTGCCGTACATTGTATAGATCTTAACTAGACCTACCCAAGTCCGCTGCATCCCATCGGTGTCGCTCAGCTCTGGTCTCATCAGTTTTATCTTTCAGTAATATCATATCCAGGGCACAATGGTCAGCCAGAACTTCGTGGAAATTCTAGGCATGAAAAGTTTGTTATTGGTCAGTAGCAGTATTGTTGTGTTGTACTATATAAACTGACTAAACTCCACAGCATAATTATGCATAGTAACAAGTTGGCTTGTTCAAAATGAACCGCAGGCCACAGCACAATAGACGCCAGGACATGAAATCATATAGAAATTAAGAATTATATGGCATATAAAACACCCCACATCTTCTGAGACCATATGGCGTATCACTTATATAATACCAAATGGCTTTTAAAACACCCAGAGCCATCAAAGAAGCCTTAAGTTGTGTTGCAGTAAAATATGTAAAATAAAAGCTTTAATTGCAAGGGGCACAAAACAGAAAAAGTGGCAGGGGAACCTCAAAAACATAACGTATCAAACGCACAACATATTTTCATATCTTACGGAATATAAGATGCTATGGACTATAAGACACACCTTAATTTTTAAGCAATTTTTTTTTTAAAAACATTTTTACCATTTTTATTATTAATTTCAAGTATAAGACACACTTGAATTTTGTAGGGAATTTTTCGAAGAAAAATGTGCATCTGTAAAATACGTTACCAAATGGTGTATCAAACACACAACATCAATTTATATCATACTGCATATCTCACTGCACCGTTAGACAACAGTGAACATATTGTAGCACCGTTAGACAAAAGTGAACACATTGTAGCACCGTTAGACAAAAGTGAACATATTGTAGCACCGTTAGACAAAAGTGAACATATTGTAGCACCGTTAGACGAAAGTGAACATATTGTAGCACCGTTAGACAAAAGTGAACACATTGTAGCACCGTTAGATAAAAGTGAACATATTGTAGCACCGTTAGACAAAAGTGAACATATTGTAGCACCGTTAGATAAAAGTGAACATATTGTAGCACCGTTAGATAAAAGTGAACATATTGTAGCACCGTTAGACAAAAGTGAACACATTGTAGCACCGTTAGACAAAAGTGAACACATTGTAGCACCGTTAGACAAAAGTGAACATATTGTAGCACCGTTAGACAAAAGTGAACACATTGTAGCACCGTTAGACAAAAGTGAACATATTGTAGCACCGTTAGACAAAAGTGAACATATTGTAGCACCGTTAGACAAAAGTGAACATATTGTAGCACCGTTAGACAAAAGTGAACATATTGTAGCACCGTTAGACAAAAGTGAACATATGGTAAACACCACAATCCTTACCTCTAAATTTCTCATCTTTTCGTTCTTCTCCTCCAAGAGAATTTTCCGGTGAGCCAATTTCTTTTTGGCTGGAATGATTTCCTTCTCAAGCATTGCTGAAAATAATATCATTATAGAACTTAGAGGACAAATCTGATTAAAATTGGTCTTCTTCAACTGGACACTGACACGAAAAAACTTAAATGATAGTTTTATTGACATCATCCGTTACTTGTGTGTGGTTTATGATTAAACAAAAATAAATAAATACAATTTAGAGACAGAACAGAAGAGGGTATGTCGTGATGTCCGACCACAGCTGTAAGTGTGGATGTGAGGGATCAGTACATTAACTGATCTTTTGGTGCAGAAAAATTCTGGTTTAGCTTTTGATTTGGTGACAGATCCTAACTTTTGTGAAGGGGTTTAGAAATGACGAATGGGCTGTGTACGCATGGTAAAATGAGTGTGCTGTGTAAAGATGGCAAGATGAGTGTGCTGTGAACACATGGCAAGATGAGTGTGCTGTGTACTGTGTACATATGAGAAGACGAGTGTGCTTAACACACATGGCAAGAGATCTTATGGCTCTAAAAGAAAAGCAAATAATGTAATGGAAATTTTGATTATCTTTAAGGAAATTGATCACAATTCTAATGACTGATATTAAGCAGTTGAGATTTCTGTGTCTTCAAGTAAGTCAGCTTTCTCAACCTTCGAGTTTGTGTATTATCAGGTATTCTTTAAATAATTTAGGCTTATCAGCTTATCATCTTGGAGTTTCTTCATGCTCAATTATTCTTTAAATAAATTACCTTTCTCATCTTGCAGTTTGTGTATTCTTTGATATTCCTTAAATCTGAGATTCTGAACCTCTTCCTTTTGTTTCTCCTCCTGACCCAGATGTTTGCTCTTTGCCTCAACTGTTTGTCTGGAAATGTCTGGGTAAAAGAATAAAGTAAAAGTCACTTCCTTGTTGATCGGCCCCGTTTCAAGCCACAGACACAATACAATTCTATGGGCAAAATACTTCCATACTGTGTGTGCGAGGAATCAAAGCAGAGTGTTTTCTTGCTGGACATGCCTGGAATTCAAAAAAGTATAGAGGCTGTTAATTTCCTCGCACATTTGTTAGGCTCCTGCGGCCACGCTTCAATGCTTTCACTTTCATGGTCCATTCAGTGTTTCAGGCATCTGTTGGGGGGAGGGGGAGCCGCACCCGGAGCAAGTGCATCCCCACCTTCGAGAAAAATGTGTACAAAAATAAAAGGAAAATTTATTTTATTAAAATTGACTGAATTCACATTTTTATAAAAGTTTTAAAAATAAAATAGTAACTTTTGTAAAAAACTCATGTCGTCTTAACATAATTATGTCGTTAGTATACCATTTTTTTAAAAATGACCAGTTTTGAAAATCCATAAAAATGTCTAGACCTTTCTACTTAACAGATTTTTTTTCTTTTTGAACCTGGTAAAACTTGAAAATATTTAGAAAAGGTAATTATTATTAGAAAGTTGATTTTTTCCTTTGCAATGAACATGTAAAATGATGTTAGCAGTGCTTTTTGTGACAAAAACATTTTTTCAAAAATCATTTATTATTTAAGTTTCCCCAAAGGTTTAAATAAAAATTAAAAGATACATTATTATTTAGTAAAAAAAAAAATCTTTCATAACACAAGGAGGTCAAGCAGCCGTCGCTCGACTTGTTGAGGACCCCTGCCAAATTTCGGTTTTGTACTCCCACACGTTGCATTGAAAGATGATAATTAAGTGTCCACCATCACATCTTTAAGTCCCTAAAATATCCGAGGCCCCTGAAGTCATATGTTGCTGGCTCACAAGATGGTTCTAAGGCTAAGTGAAACCTAATTTTTTTAACTAGCCTCTCTTTAGTTGCTTTCCAATTAAGTGTCCAATGTTGCAAAACTAAATTCAGGTATGTGAAAAAATGCATTCTTGTATTTTGAATTTATCAAAAATTTTCTAGGGGCTTTAAAGATTTTAGGAGTGGTAATAAGCTAGGGCAAATGCTTACCCTAAAGGGTGACACAACTCGAATGAATTTAGTACATATCCTGCTGATGAAGAGTTAGAGATGTCTTTGATCATTATTGTGGATCATTTTGGCGCTTTCCACCCAAAGGTTTGAAATCCCACCTCAAAATTGCCTGAAAGAAACAATTCAAGTATGCTCCAAAATGTACCCCTGTATTATTAATTTGCCCAACTTCCTTCAGTAACATCAATTTCTGCACCCCACTTCCATGGCTGTCTTTACAGCAGTGGAGGCCCTGGGCACAGTAATTCACTGAGGCCCCTAGCCCTCTATATATTCAGGGTCATGCTAAGAGGGGGCAAGAGGGCCAATCACCCCAAGCGCCAATATCAAAGGGTGACAAGTGAATTAAACTATAAAATCCCATGTACTTCACATAGACAGGAGTGGCAAAATCGTCTTAATTGTTACGCCTTGGGCACCACTTTTCCTGGGAATGGCTGTGTATAACCTAATATTCAAGTAATGCTATGAAAAGCATTATGGCTTAGGTTGGCCTATGCGTTTTAACCTTTTCTTTCAGGAAATTTTTCTGCGGGGGGAGTGGGGGTAGTCTTTCAGGTGTTCGGGAGAGTGGGGCAGGGCATCTATTAGCACTGAAATTAGGAATCTCGATGCCCAGGACAAGCTCTTACTTCGAAGCCCCCTGAGGGTATACTTTTAGCCCCAGCTTATTTTTGTCCATTGAATTTTTGTAGTCCAACTACATATACCAAACTAAAAGAAAAGCATAATTTTGTCAGTTAAAAAATTTTTTTTAATTACTTACATCCAATGCTTTTTAAGATTATAATGTGTCAGTATGGTCACTTTCATTGGGGAGGGAGGAGAGATCAAGGACCCCTCTCTTGAAAATGTTTGTTATCGGTACATTCAGAATGATGGGATTCACTTTGGCACAATCATTAATTTTGTTTTGCATCCTTTTACACTTAACCGGCTTGGAACAAAAAAGATGCTAGTTGAAACTTGGATTCCCTTGACCATGCATGGGTTAAACAATTCCTTTTATTTTTAGTTGTATCAAAATAATAATATTGTTTGATAATTTTAGTTTGAAACTATTTATGTGCTTACACTAATTCATCAATGAATAAATAAAATTAAAATCCTTTTGGATTTAATTTTAAATTTAAGTAGGTTTTCCCAAAATTTACAGGTACAAAAAGTAGAAAAAATTATGTTTTTGTAGAAAAGATCTATAGATTTTGTCTGGCTATTTAAAACAGGTCATTTTCTTATTAAAATTGGTATAAAAAAGAAGAAAGGAAATATTTACAAAAGACATCATGTATTTAATATTTATTAATATGGGCTTTATCTGAGGGAAAATTAAAAACTTTTTTGGAAATTCTAACTACTAATATTTTCTTCCTTTAAATTACTAAATAGTGGCGCCTTTGTTAACTTTGTAAGATTCTTCGATTTTTTCCTACCCCAACCCCCAAGAAAAAAATAATTAATGGATTTTTTCAAACTGATAGTTTATCAAAAGAAACTTTTTTCCTCTTAAGTACAAAACAATTAATAAATAGATGTGAATGTCATGAATGTGAGAATCAACAAACTTTCTTAATAAACTGGAGAAACGATCTTCCCATTTGAAAGCAAAATAAATTGCCAAAAATATTTCAATATTCACTGATAATATTAGCAGCACCTAGAAGCTTGAGACAAACTAGAGGCGAGATGCCTCTTAGAAGTGAGGCCTCGCCCCCTCGAGCATGAGGCGAGACCACCTAGGCCTAGGCTAGAACTAGAGCGTAAGTCGTAAGAGAGGCGTGAAAACCTGGGCAAGTGCACGCAGCACATTATGCCCAAGCCTTAAAGAGGGCACTGCTTTTCTCCAATAATTTCACTAAGGAGCAGTATCACAGCTAGGGTTATTACCGCCCGGGGCTAACATCTTAATCTTAGTCAAACATCATTGTAAACACAAATTCTTACTTTAATTTTGTCAATTTTTATCTGAGATCTGGGAGAAGTAATACTTAATGTCGAGAGTTATCCCCCTTAGGGGGTTCCCAACTTGTGATTCGCATTTATAATATTTAATTTTGGAATGTGCAGCTAATAACGTGGGTTAATTTGAGAAAACGTGCTGTCCACTCATTTTTAAATCAAATTAAATTTCCAAAATCGTTCAATATTCATTAACAATATTATTTAAAGCATAATGCCTCTAAAAGAGTGAGCCTCCTAGTTAGATCAGTGTTACAGTATAGGGTTAAAAATAAGCTGGGGGGGGGGGGTGAATTCAGTTTATGTATGCACTGGGCGCCATAATGCCCCCCCCCCACCTACCCAGATCCTTACAAATTTCCTTCCCCCTATCAAAAACCCTAATTTAAAGCAAAATGCCTCTAAAAGAGTGAGCCTCCTAGGTAGATCAGTGTTAAAGTATAGGGTTAAAAATAAGCTGGGGGGGGGGGGGTGAATTCAGTTTATGTATGCACTGGGCGCCATAATGCCCCCCCCCCACCTATCCAGATCCTTACAAATTTCCTTCCCCCTATCAAAAAGCCTAAGAGAAATAATGAATTCAAGTATACTCCAAATTGCACCTCTTATTTTTCAATACTCCTTATAAAAATGATCACCTATCTCCAGGCCGATACATACAATGCATAATGACGCAGCTCGTATTGGTATTAGTGTCGCCATGGCCATGGGCAATGTTCCCTTTAAGCTGCGCGGCTGCGCGGCCGCGCAGCTATCTCACAGACGCCGAGCAGCAGTTTTGAGTACCACGCAGCAAATTTCCATGCAAGTGAGTGGGCAGTAAAATTTTGCGCACAAAAAAATCGAAGCTGTAAAACTTTGCACACAACTGTATGATTTTGCACACGAACCAACAAACCTTAGAGTGAACATTGGCCATGGGTAGCCAAAGATTTGTGCCGCAATCCCTTTCACGATAAAAAAAAAAAACCGCGCCTCCATATAAAGAAAAAGTGACACCTGGATTGACCACCCCCCTTCGCTCCCTTTCTACGCCACTGGCAGGGACCTAGCTAGAGTGTTTGGCGTCAGGGGACAAGATTAAATGTATGCCCCCAACCCCCTTTCAACTCTGAAACCAATTATTTTCAGCCATTAAATACCAAAATGCCCCCCCCCCTCGTTAGTCTTTCACCCGGGGGCGTCTGTCCCATTTACAACCCATTAGCTACACCTCTGGCCATTCCCCNAGTGGGTTTAATGTCTTTACCCGGAAGCTTAAAATTGTTGATAAGACGACCACGCTCGAAACAATGGTATTTATATTGAATGTCTTTATTAAAAAAATTTCTGAAATGATCAAGGAAGGACTTTTTCTGCATTTCATATTATAGGAATATCATTTTTTTTATTTCTGGGTTAACTTTGGTTTTCTAAAAAAAAAAAAATGCTACAGATGACAAAGTCGATGGAAAATCCGTGGAGACATTTTACTGCTGGAATATGGAATATTGAACACACCAACTATTTTTTTTTAATAGTAGTCTTGGCGTCTTTCGTAGCAGTGATTTCTAGTTTATGTGATGTTCTTTTTATATAATTCTTGGTGTTAAGGGTGGAGGAATCATTGACATTCTAGGTTTCATAGAAGTCCCACAGAATTATAGAAGTCACGCAGAGTCATAGAAGTCCCACAGAATTAAAGAAGTCACACAGAAAATCATAGCAGCTATAAAGAATCAAAGGAGTCCCACAGAATCATAGCAGTCACGCAGAATCAAAGAAGCCACTCGGCATCATAAACGTCACATAGAACGGGCATGCAAATGCCTGAAGCCTAAACAAATCTTTATGGATTAAATTTTTCTTACAATCATCCAAGACACTTTTTTTTTTCATAAAAATTTAACCGGCATTTAGAGATTAATTCAGTTTACTTAATTACTATTGCATACACACGAGAGCGGAGGTAAGGAGATTTCATACCAATTTAGTTTGTATGTTATACTTTTACGTCAATCTGTTGATTTCATTCATATCACTACACACAAAGTACGCATGATGCTTGGGCACGAAGCCTCAGAAACAGTAGAGAGAACCAGGTCATCTTAGAGAACCAGGTCATCTTAGAGAACCGGTTCATTTTAAAGAACCAGGTCATCTTAGAGAACCAGGTCATCTTAGAGAACCAGGTCATCTTAGAGAACCGGGTCATCTTACAGAACCGGGTCATCTTAGAGAACCAGGTCATCTTAGAGAACCGGGTCATCTTAGAGAACCAGGTCATCTTAGAGAACCGGGTCATCTTAGAGAACCAGGTCATCTTAGAGAACCAGGTCATCTTAGAGAACCGGGTCATCTTAGAGAACAAGGTCATCTTAGTTTACATTGGTGTCGTTTTTAGTTTAGAATATTATAAAACCCCAGATATCATCACTAGACAGTCTCTAGCATGGAATTCACAGGGGAAAAGGAAGAGAGGAAGGCCGAAGAATATATGGAGACGCGAGCTAGAGGCATACACGCAAAATATGGGATACACCTGGAAGCAACTGGAAAGGAAAGCACAGGACCGTGATGAGTGTAAAATTCTTGTCGACGGCCTATGCTCCTGACGGGGTAAAAAGGCATAAACAAAATAGGAAGAGACTCTAAAATGACTTGTGAATAGTTCTTAATGACTGTTAAATGCTCCAACATTAACGTTTGATCAATTATATGGACCTTGATTTTTGGTGCTGTGGTTGATTTAGCTGTGCTATTTAAAGTAGAACTAAAGACATTTTTTAAAAAGTTTATTTTTCATTACTATGTTAGGAGGAAATGAAAGTCGAATCAAAATATTTATATTGTATTTTTTCAGAAGTGAATGAAACGGACAGTTTATATTTACTTAAGGCAGACTTTAGATCTAAAACTACGGACAATTTATATTTACCTAAGGCAGACTTTAGGTCTAAAACTACTGACAGATTATATTTACCTAAGGCAGGCTTTAGATCTAAAACTACTGACAGTTGATATTTTACCTAAGACAGACTTTAGATCTAAAACTACTGACATTTTATATTTACCTAAGGCACACTTTAGATCTAAAACTACTGACAGTTGATATTTTACCTAAGACAGACTTTAGATCTAAAACTACGGACAGTTGATATTTACCTAAGACAGACTTAAGGTCTAAAACTGCCTGTTTGGCTTTCTCCACTCGGACTTCCTTTTCCATGAAGGCCGCTACGCTTTCCTCAAGGCGCTCTAACATGTCTTCCGCCCCTTTGGACATTGTGATGTCACAGTGACCCAAAACTGTCATCTGCGACCACAGAGTAGCAATTTTTCTCAGGACTACACAATAATGTGACATCACCTTTTCAGTTTCAAGAAGAAAAAAAAACAACTTGTCTGATACTGGTATATTCTTAAGAAAACAACAGTTTACAGTAAAAAAAAAAGTGTACAGAAAACAAGCTTGTTTTTTACAATTGTGTACATAGTAGGGCCTACTATTTCCATTGAGGCCCCTTTAACTTAAGGTCTGTGTGATTGGCCTGGATCTGGGTTGACTCACCCCCTCGTTTCCAGAGTAAACTGTCATGATTATATTTTTCATAATATTAATAATCTAACGAACGTACGTTATGTTAACTACTGTCAAAGTGTTAAATTAATGCAGTAGAATGGATGGATCAACCCACTAATTGTCAGTAGAATATGCAATGATGGTAATGGTAAGATGCAAAGATGGTAAGATGCAATGATGGTAACATGCAACGATGGTAAGATGCATGTAATGATGGTAAGATGCAAAGATAGTAAGTACAATAATGGTAAAATACAATGATGGTAAGATACAATGATGGTAACATGCAATGATGGTAACATGCAATGATGATATGCAATGATGGTAAGATGCAATGATGGTAAAATGCAACGATGGTAAGATGTAATGATGGTAACATGCAATGATGGTAACATGCAATGATGGTAACATGCAATGATGGTAACATGCAATGATGGTAACAAGCAATGATGATATGCAATGATGGTAAGATGCAATGATGGTAAGATGCAATGATAAAACCTACATATACATATAACACGCAAAAAAATAAAAAATACTCAAATATAATATTGCCTACCTGATCTAAGTCTTTAGAAATACTAATTGCTGCGGTTGGCGACATTTCCTTTTGAAAGTTCCGACTTGATTCGCTTAGAACTGTTAGTATTTTCTTGCTCACAAACACGCATCAATGCTTGGATATTGACTTCAGACACAGCCGTGACGCTTCAAATTGTGTGCACATATTACGTCATACTTACCATTTGATGCCATTTCCAAGTATTTTTAGATCAAAAACTTTTCGTTTTTTAAAATTCAGGAGCTGATTTATTATTATTTTTTATCCATATGATAACTGACAACAAAAATCTAATTTTCATAAATCTTGTCGTCTTCTGTGGCTGAAGTTTTATTACTCTAATAATCAAATTCTTAAGAATAACTGTCTTTCTGTGCTGACGATTCCTTTCCTGTCCGGTTAACATTTTCCTGCCATTGTCTTATTGATATCCCAAGATTTAATCGCATAACAGCATTTATAGTACGTCTTTATCGCATGGATTTTGAGGCACTGGTTCAGATGTTCGTTTAAGTGGCATCATCAGACCCTGTATTCAAAATTCATTTCCCCCCCACACAACAATTTTCCTTAAATATCCAAGACCCTTGCAACTGCAGAGGTTGGAGGGTCCACTCGACGAATCTGTCCCTACGAATCTGTCCCTACCGAGTCTTTACCATGTGCTGGGGGGTTGGGGGGGGGGGGTAGAAATTATATTTGTTTTACTTTGCACATAACTAGAAAACACAAAATTTTATTAATCTTTACATACGTTATCGTCTGAGAAGACAGCATCATAATATATCGTTTTATTTAAATCTTAAATAGGAACCATGGTAATAGGTCATCGATTTTGTAATCTATTTTTAGTAACTTACAAGCACCTTTCCATGACCCAGTTATTTATTTTTAAAATATATATTAGAGTCTGAATCAATATGCAACGGGCGTGACAAAAAGTCATTGCATTACATATCGTCTGCCATTTAAATGAATGACGATTTTGACCGACGATTTAGAGAGCTGGATTGGAATCTGATAATGCTTGACTGAAGGACGGTTGATTGGAGCCTCTCAAGTACGCTGTGTTGAGTGTCAGCTGGTGGTGAAATAGGTGTTTTGATAACACACAAAAATCTCTTATAAGAACGTGACCATGTCGTAGTTTACCATCAGTTCTATCATCAGGCTTTCAGTCAACAGACACCGGGATATCAACTGTTGTAGTTTCAACGCAGCGTGCTTAGGTAATCAGCTCATTATTTTATAAGACTGCATTGTTATCTTTAAATGAATTATGTTGTCCTATTCAGAGGTGGATCAGGCTGGCAGCCGGGTACCCCCCCCCCCCCCCCCCCCCC